TATAAGAGACAGGTGTGTGTGTGTGTGTGTGTGTCTGTGCAGAAGGGGAAAGGCAGCACAAAGATGGCAGAGCAAGGAGGCGCACAGGAGAGGAGCAGGTGAGGGGAGAGGATAATGGGAGGAGGGTGGAGGAAGTGGGAGGTGGGCAGACATGGTTGAAGGAAGTCGGTGGAGGTGTACGAGGTGGGGAAGACGCTCGGATGGTGGTGGAGGGGAAAGGAGAGGGGAGTTGAAGAAGGGGAAAGGCTGTCCGAGGCAGGGGAAGGCGGAGGGGGTGGGAGGTCGAGGAAAGGGGAAAGGCAGTGCAAGACGGAGGGAGGAGGAGGAGGAGGGAGGATGCAACAGATGGAGAATGATGGCCAAGGGAGGCAGGCAGACGAAGATGGAGGAGACAGGGGCAGCAGCAAAGCAGGCTTTGAAGCCAGTGCCGAAAACAGGGCGCCACAATGAGCCCGTCCCAATGACAATTTTTTTTGGAGCCATTTCAAAACTCCTTCAGCCATCTGTACCGGCCCATTGCAACCGTTCTTACGGCCTCGATGGAGCCACGATCTTACGGCCCACAGTGCATGCTGTTCGTTTCCTACACTTGTCACCATGCAACCAAGGCCATCTGGGATCGAATTCCCTATGGGCTGAATTTCATGTGGATCACACGGAAAAACAATTCATGTTTAATGCAGGCCCCGCTTGCCGAACAGGGTGGGGGACCGGTTTGTACTCTCACGCACCATTTGCCGATTTCCACTCGTGTAGTGAAGACAATGATTGTCTTTTCTTTTCGTCCAAGACAATCCGTTCGTCAACAGATGCATGCATAATGTCAAACATGAAAGAGGACGAAAAACAGAATAAGTAGGAAAACTCGGAAAAACTTCAAAAAGGTTACAGGAACTTAGATCCACTGTCAGTGCTTCGTATGATCAGACTGGCCGCTGATTCATCTGTGTGGCCACATGTGAACGGCTCATTAACCATCATTACTAATCTGCTTGTCCATCGTAAGAGGATGGACCACAGATGAGGATTCATGTCTTGTCTACTTTAAACCACCACTACCTTTCTCATATATGGGGCCGCAGGCCTCTGAATTCAAATTTGGAGGCCAGGCGCCGCCGGCGAAAGTTGTATAACGGCGGCCCGATGTTGATTTTTTCCGAATAGGCTACTTTTACGACTTAGCACCACAGCCTGAAAGGTAGTGGTGGTTGAACGAGAAAAGAAAAAACGAAAAAAAACACGTGTTCGCCTCAATTTCACAGCCTGAAAGGTAGTGGTGGTTCCCACCCAAAAAAAAACAAAAAAGCATATTGGCTCTTCACATCTTCATATTCATTGCCGGTCAAGGTCTGCGTGTGCCAAGTTTGGTGTTTGTTGGGGTCTCGGAAATGACTGTTTTGGCCAGCCCTGAAAATCCTGAAAATCCTGAAAAACTGAAAAGACTCGAAAGAGCCAATTTTGCATGAAAACACACTTCTTGCCTTGGAGTTTTAGGCCCTCCTGAAAAGTCAGGCCTCTGTTAACCTCTTCTCTCAAACGGCCCCCTAGCTGATCCGAATTTACCACACAGAGGAGTAGAACTGTGCACCAAGCTTGGCCAAAGCGCGCACGCAGCGTTTCCTGTTTCATTTCAGTTCACACCGCCAGCCTTTTCGATCCAGTAGCTCCCAGCCTCCATCGGCCTTCGAAGAATGCGGTATAGGTTATATTAACGACCTCGCTCTCCAGCCTGAAAGGTAGTGGTGGCTTAAGAAACAAGCCTGCATCTGGCTTCTCCACACTATGACATGCATTCCGGCCACATACTCATCGAGAGCTAAGCAGATATCTCCTCAGTTCTTCTGACTCGTTCTGGTTTTGGGAGGAGTGTGTTCAGGAACTTCAGGGCCGTCCACACCGGACGGCTTTGCCCAGATGCTCTGGGTAAGACGGTTTCGTCACCTTGTAGTAATCCTAATTTATTTGTCACGACCTCGTCCCCAATCCAACAGTTAACACTTGGACTTCCCTTAAAATGTCAGACCATTATAATGGGCACGAAGAAGCTTCCCTCGAGGACCAGGACCTCACAGCAGCCTCAACTAAACCACTCCATCCAGCAAACACAGTGAAAAGTCTGGGGATTAAAGGAGGGAGAGGGGGGGGGGGGTAGGACATAATTCCACCTGCCAACCATGTGAAAACAGTTCAAACAACACATTGATTTTTGGATACTCAAGCCCAATATGAATGATCATGCCACTAAAGCCTCGCTTCCCTTACTTTACTGCCACAGACAAATATTCCTGAACCAGACAGCGCATGTAGGCCCTGTCTTTCCCGTCTCTGTCCCTCGTTGCCGTCTCCTCTTACCTTTGTTCTATCTGTGTTTTACAGCATGCAAGCATGCTGGCAGGAGGTCAGGCACTTTGAAACAACAAAAACATGACAAACCTTGCACTCTAGAGGCACAGCAAGAACGGAGAGCAGGAAGAGGAAAGAAAAACGAAATCTGTCCTTTTTGGGACAGTCCACTAAAATTAGATACGCCGAAGATTACAACAGCCCTTGCACAGCAACAAATTGGGAAACGATCCATTAAAGAAAATAATTTAAAAATCAAGATTAAGAAAGATTTCAAAGAAAAGAAAAAACAGTGCCTTATGCTGTCTGCTCCTTCTTCATTTGTTTCACGAAGCACAATCTCCTCTTAATTTATTTGGCAATGCATACAAAGTATTACAAACTTATTACAAAGATATAATGGGAGATATTTAAAACTAAATGAGAAAGAAAAGACATGTGGAGGAAGTATCCTCTCCTCTTAATTATGTGGCAATGCATACAAAGTATTACAAACTTATTACAAAGATATAATGGGAGATGTTTAAAACTGAATGAGAAAGAAAAGACATGTGGAGGACGTATCCAAGATTCCAAATACAGCACATCCTTCCAAAGATATATATATATCGTCGAATAGAACTGCCCTGTAAACCGTAGGCAGACAGGGAGAAGAGGACAACAAACGAGGGGCTGTGACAAACTGTTTCGTCGGAGTTTCACCGACTCGTCAGGAGGCTGAACCCTCAACAGTCTGCAGAATCCCCTAACTGATTACACTAAGTGATAATCCACCTTAACCCCGGCTATGGTTAAACATCGACTGCCCGACAACTGATACCCTGAGGTGGGCACCAACCACTGCCCTCAAGGTACCTGTGACGAAAATCAAAACAGACTATCACTCACCCACACCAGATGGAAAACTCTACAGACTGTCAATTTATACATATATATACATATATATACATATATATCGTCAAATAGAACTGCCCGGTAAACCGTAGGCAGAGAGGGAGAAGAGGACAACAAACGAGGGGCTGTGACAAACTGTTTCGTCGGAGTTTCACCGACTCATCATATAAACAGAGCTGCCCGGTAAACCGTAGGCAGAGAGGGAGACGAGGACAACAAACGAGGGGATGTGGCAAACTGTTTCGTCGGATTTTCATCGACTCGTCAGGAGGCTGAACCCTCAACAGTCTGCAGAATCCCCTAACTGATTACACTAAGTGATAATCCACCTTAACCCCGGCTGTGGTTAAGCATCAACGACTGCCCGATAACTGATACCCTGAGGTGGGCACCAACCACTGCCCTCAAGGTACCTATGGCAAAAGTCAAAGCAGACTATCACTCACCCACACCAGATGGAAAACTCTACAGACTGTCAGTTCACACCCCATCACAAGCAAGCAAAACACCCACGAAACAAAGAAAGGTCTGTCACAGCCAAAAAATACACTCCAGACACGCCGCTGGCACTAGAGGCACAGCATGGCCGCGTAGTGACGGCTATACATATATATCGTAGTGACCGCTATACATATATATATCGTCAAACAGAGCTGACCGGGAAACCGTAGGCAGAGAGGGACAAGACAACAACAAACGAGCGGCTGTGACAAACGATTTCATCGGAGGGTTTCACTGACTCATCAGGAGGCTGAACCCTATATATATATCGCCAAACAGAGCTGCCCGTGTATATATATTGTCACATAACTAAAAACTAGAAGAGCGCACTTTGTGAAACAAAGGATTAAAAACAAAAAACAAGGGCACATTGAAACCATTCAATTTCTCACTCTTCTTTTAACTCCCCCTCCACTGTGCCGAGTGAAACAGTGTTTGTAGCCATGCAAAGGAGAAGGTCACAGAGTGTTGGTACATTGTCTTGCAGCAGCATGGGCCCAGAGGAATGACCTTCGACATGAAAGAGATTGCGGACGGCTTGTTGTGGCAAGAAAAACAGCAGGTATGATCTTCTACATAAAAGAGATTGCGGACGGCTTGTTGTGGCAAGAAAACAGCATCATTATGTAAGAAATCAGTGACCTCAGTCATGGCATGGACCATGGTGCCGTTGTCCCACAGTTCCAGTCGTCAGATGCATGTACAATGCCCATGTAATGGCTAGGTCCGTGCACAATGCAGGCAGAGATGTGGGATGGAGGATTAAACCACTCACCTGCTCGAGCATTGCGTAGTTCAAGTTGACGGTCCCTCATTTCTACTTGCAGGACAGCAATGGTAAAGCCTCCTTCCCTAGTATAATTACAATCCTCTGCCTGTAGTTGGGGAAGATCAGCATCAAGCTGAAGGGCGAATGCAAGGAAATCTGCCAGTCTACAAAACGGGCGCTGGAGAATGTGAAGACATATTAGTTGCTGTTGGACCACAGAGATTGGTGAGGTTCTCAGGCTGGTGTGTTGGATGCTGGCCAAAAATTTGCAGATCACCCAGACTGTCTTGGGTTGTTTGCTGTTCAGTCATTTGCAGATCACCCATGTGGTCTGCTCGTAGCGGGGCAGAAATTTGCGGTTCATCCGAACAATGCTGGTCAGCCATTTGCAGATCCCCCATGTGGTCGACTCCTTGTGGGGTCAACTGCAATCCGGGCAGATCATGTTCCACTTCCTCAGCGTTCGGGGCTGCATCCTGAGTAGGGACTATCCCTGGAGTTGGGAGTATACTCTGGGCAGGGACCACATCCTGTTGTACAGGTGGGTCACAAATGTATAGCGCCGAAGGGCATAAAACATGGTGCTGTGTCTGCTGGCAGGCAGCCGGACTGTATGCAGGAGGCATAGGAGCGGATGTAGCCGTTGGAAAAAAGGAACCGCAACAACCTGCGGAGCAGGCACAGAGAGAATTGGGGTAGACAAAGAAACAGGCTGCTGATCCGTGGACAAGTGACGATGTCGCGCATGTCGTCGACGATACACAATAGGAGGGGTGGTGTTGCAAACAGAAGATGAGGATGTCCCTAGCAATGAAGGCGGAACAATGGGAACGATGGAAACTGGAGAATCTGCTCTCAAACGAGACTGTGGAGGGGATAGGGGTGGCGAGGAGGAACACAGCTGTCTGCGGCCAAGCACAAAAAGGGATGGAAGCGGGGTGAATTGGGCAAGATTTTGAAACATAAGCCGCGAGTGTTGGAGAGACTGTGAGCTTCTTTGTGCTAGAGTTGGGGCAGAGGAAGCTGTAGCAAGTATAATACGTGGAATTCCAGCCACAGCAGCAGAGGAAGTTACAGCAGGAACTGCAGCAGAAGCAACTTCTGAAGCAGAAACAATCGGAGTGAAAACCAGAGCTGTAGAAACTGTAGTGGTGGAAACAGCAGCAGTAGAAACTTCAGCGGTGGAAACTGCAGCAGTAGAAACCGCAGTAGTGGAAACCGCAGCAGTGGAAACCACAGCAATGGAAACTGCAGCAGTGGGAGCTGCAGCAGTGCAAACTGCAGTAGTAGCTGATGAACAAGCAGGCACAGGACAAGAGTGACGTCAGGGCAAAGAAGAAAGTGGATGATGCAAGGACCATCGCAGTATGTGTCGGAACCGCTGAGAGAAACGCATCACGTGCTTAGGATAATGACGTTGGCGGGAGCGCACGTAGCAGGTCCACCCTTTAGCAAGGGTTGGTGGGAAATGCCCACGAGAAAGCATGCGACGAGTAAGTGTTATCGCCGTAGTTCGGAAGTGCTGCCAATCTGGTCAATTCCCCAGTGAATACACGTGATGGTTGATGGGAAGGGATGTTGGAGGTAGCACTTGGATAGCGAATGACAAGGAAATCCCAAGAAGACGCTTTATCAAATGCGCTCATGCGAAACGAGCCATCAGAAGGTACCCATACATGCATACCTAAAAAGGTGCACGAGCCATCTATCGCCATAGTCTCCTTCCACTCAAGCCCATAGTGCTCTAAAGGAGGAGGTAATTGCCCCCATGAAAGAACATCATCAATGAGGTGATAAGTGAAGGCGTATTGCTCAGCGGTTTGGAGATCATGTTGACGAATGTCATCAACAAAGCGTGCTTCATCCCAGTAGAGCGTCAGATTAAAATTTTTTGTGGCAGCATTTGTTCCCATTGGAATATCTCTAGTATACAGAAAAGTGTTTTGTACAACAAAGCGAAAATGCTGAAGAATCTGAGAAATGGAAAAGGGTTCCGGGCCTGAATCGGTTGGCCATTGGCCAGAGCAAGGTCCTCGAATAACCATGTTCAGGCTCTTCAGGGCTCTGCAGCACGAATGCATGCGAGTATGCTGAAGGGCGTAAACATGGGCTTCGAAGAGAGGATGCATTGCTTTTCAGGTCAATCGCCACCTCATCGGCACTCAGGACAATCCAGCACCATCGAATACCAACCTGTCGATACAGCTCAGTGTCTTTTTCACGAAGAGTAAAGACACTCCTTGCAAAGCAGCACTGAGATACGAAGAGGTAGTCATTGTGCTAGCCAAGGGTTTGTGAGGAGGAGAACTGCCCAGTGAAATGTGGGCTGGGAGGGAGAAGAGGACAGCCAACAAGGCGCTGTGACAGACTGTTTCTTTTAAGTTTAATCGGCGCATCAGAAGGCGGCTGAACCCTATACGGTCCGCGCAGTCCTCTGACCAGTGATAGTGTAAGTGATAATCCACCTTAATGCAAGTGGTTAACGATCAATGACTGTCCGGCAACTGATACCCTGAGGTGGTGGGGACCACCAACCACCGCCCCCAACGTACCTGAAACGAAAATCAATGCCCTGAACATGGTAGGCTGGCAGTCCACAACATTCACTGCACCTTATGGGAAGGTATGCTATAGAAAACATCCCTGAGGTGTCTCCGTTCCAATGAGACCCTCGCAACCCCGGGCGTGAGCCAATAACCACAGTTTCCCTCATGGTAGTCCCTCTTGTTGTCCTTATACAAGCTCTCATTCTTCCATGCTTGCCGGTAATAAGTAACCGGACTGCCCCCTCCCCCCCTCCCCCCCTCCCACCCCCCCCAACCCACAGAATAGGTGGGGCACCTGTGTGAGTGGGTCTTAAAAGTAATAATAATAATAATAATAATAATAATAAAATCAGTGTACTTACTCTGGGGTGACCAATAGCGGACCATTTCACGAGTTTTTCACTCCAACATCAAGAGATCCAGTAGGCTTGATAAACTTGAATTGTGTTACATCAAAACTTATATGGATGGATATGAATAATTATGAATACTACTGTGGGTAATTTAAATTACTCAAACATAATGATGTTATGTATACTATAGGGAGAGCTCCTAAGTTGTATGGGTAGAGGAGTTAGGCCTTCTTTCATATCTTTTTCTATCCCTTTGGAGGAAGCAGGCCTGCCATTTGGCTGATGGAAATTACAGTCCACAACTTCATGAACGTTTCAAATAAGCAGCATGGATGAAATAAGATTGAAAAAAGTTAAAAAGTTATAAAAACCCAAAGACAGTTGCGCCATGCCACTCACCAAACTTTTCTGGGGGAGCAGCGACTGTTCCTCTGAGCAAAAGCGAAAGCTGCCACAGTAGGGGAAGGAGGAGAAGAGGGAGCAAATTGCAGAAAGGGAGGGAGGGAGGGAGAAGGGGGAGGAAATGGCGTAAGTGAGGGAGAGAGGAGAAAAGGACACAAGAGAGAGAGCRRGGGGGGGGGGGGGGGGAAGGGCAAACGGGATGAAGAACGGGGAGAAGTACGGGAGAGCGGGGGARAGGAAAAGCAATAGCCAGGTCAGAAGTGGAAAGAGCTCCCGAGTGTCAAATACAGCAACGCCGTACAAGAAAAGCAACTTGAGATGACCTTGGGAAATTGACAAAGGCGGGAAGAAGCAGCAGGAAAGCGAGGGTGAGGGGCAGGGCAATGGCTGGATTGGCACGAGGAACGGACTCATAGCATACAAAAGCTTTTCTTTGTTTTTTTTTTTTGGGACCATTTCTCGATTTATGTGTGTCATCCTTGCGCAGGGGCCATGCTAATCTTCTCTGTATCGTTCCAATTTAACGGATGTCCTGAAGG